GAACTCCTTCAAGTAGTCTCTCACTGCGCAGGGTTTCTACACCATCTGGAACAGTACATCAAAGCTACACGGCGCTGTTAAGGATTTCCGCGGGCGCCCCCGCTTCTTCCGAGGGGGTTCCCCAACATGTGGTTTCTGATCGCCGTTGTCCATAACTGGGTCCTTCTATGTGTCTAACCCTTCTGACTACCCAGGCTCAACTAGTTTGGCTGCAATCTTTCCTTCCGCTTCGATGGCAAGACCGGCCATCCGTTTCACCAGAGCGAACTCGTGATAGGCTCCAAAACGTCCCTCAGTTTGGCATGTATATCTCCGCGACCTTGTGCTTGTACCATCCGCACCATGTTTCTGATTCCCTTGGCTTACACAACTTGGCTTGTTTGAGGAAGTCCTCCGTATATCCCACAACTGATCGATCTTCTTGAACATTCTGAAGTATGAATCCACACTGACACTTGCCAGTGAAAACTCTCGGGGGTTCCCCAGCCGCACTCAGCGTCTTGCATAGGCGGACACACTTCTTTGGGGGCTCTTCCTTGGATGTGAGCCAAAATGTTGATTGGCCCGTAGTATGTGATCCTGCCTCGACCTCATCTGGGGATGTGACATCAACACCTTACGCCCTACTGGCTGCTCATGTGGAAAACTCAACTGAAACTCTCTAAACTGTTCCTCAGGGTCCGAAAACGTGGGTAATACCGACTTAACATCCACATCGTGATACAGCCTGTGGATGTGCTCCTTGGAGCCTCTCTGTCAATTGTGCATACGCGGCATCCTCCACTCATTATGGTCTGGCGAGTACATCATGTATCAAATGATCCGATCAGAATCATAATTGAAGCACCGACATAACGGGTGGTTTAAAAACCATTTCGCATCTTTGGAAATACTCTAAAGCTTTTTGAAACTTCTTTTCGAAAGAAACAAAACCAAGAAATTTTGAAAACGTTGAACTGCCGACCCCTTAAGATAGTACTAAGGATCTTAACCCCCGCTCTGATACCAATTGTAACAACCCAGTCCCCCAACGTCCGACCGGGGTTTAGCGAAAGCGTATTACGGACACGTGTCTACTCAGTTAGATAACCCTACATGGCCCTTACTAGTACCAGGGATTATTCAGTGAAGTGACTCTTGTCCAGCCTGTCCGGTGGAACTCTACCCTACCCCATGCGGGAACCAAGACCGACTAGCCACTACAATCAATATGAAATATACAAACCATACAACAACATCTCAATAGAGTATTCTAGCACCCTAACGTTCATACACCACAAGGACTCCGCCTTTGCTTCACATGGACTCATTCACGCAATCAACCTATAAACTAGACTCACCAATCAACCTGGATTTAAGGACCTAGAGACGTTTACGGATGTTCGTACACGTTCCGGCCTAACCCCGGCCTAACCATGGACCATGTCGGGTACCTCTCTCGGGAAATCCGTCCCCCCCTAAAGCTTCCTAAATAACTATCCAAGTTGCAGCTTGTTGGCTCCCAGCTCTGTCTGCCACCCCGGTCTTAATAGCAATAATTATACCATGATTCAGAATTAACTCGATCCTAAGGCGCCTATACTTATCTTATCCAGCAGGTCCCTCCAAGAGGTCTCTTCCGTGGTCGCCGTCCGTTCACGGCCTTTCACATCTCACCCACGGGTACCTCGTATTAGGCTACTGTCCCATGGACCATGCGGGTACCTCTTGTTAGGCTACTGTCCCGTAACACATCCTAGACTTTAGACACCCACCCGTTCTCGGTGGTCCAAACAGAACTTCAAACAAGTTCATTGACTAATCACATTTTTTTCATTCACGTTCTTGTACTCATTCTCATTCGAATTCTCATTCACATTCACATTCTCATTCTCATTCTCATTCTCATTCTCAATCTGATTCTGATTCGGATTCTGATTCTGATTCTGATTCTGATTCTGATTCTCATTTTCATTCTGATTCTGATTGTGATTCTCATTCTCGTTCTCGTTCTCGTCCACATCCTCATCCTCATCCTCATCCTCATCCTCATCCTCATCGTCATCCTCATCCTCATCCTCATCCTCATCCTCATCCTCATCCTCATCCTCATCCTCATCCTCATCCTCATCCTCATCCTCATCCTCATCCTCATCCTCATCCTCATCCTCATCCTCATCCTCATCCTCATCCTCATCCTCATTCTCATTCTCATTCTCATTCTCATTCTCATTCTCATTCTCATTCTCATTCTCATTCTCATTCTCATTCTCATTCTCATTCTCATTCTCATTCTCATTCTCATTCTCATTCTCATTCTCATTCTCATTCTCATTCTCANATCCTCATCCTCATCCTCATCCTCATCCTCATCCTCATCCTCATCCTCATCCTCATCCTCATTCTCATTCTCATTCTCATTCTCATTCTCATTCTCATTCTCATTCTCATTCTCATTCTCATTCTCATTCTCATTCTCATTCTCATTCTCATTCTCATTCTCATTCTCATTCTCATTCTCATTCTCATTCTCATTCTCATTCTCATTCCCATTCTCATTCTCATTCTCATTTTCATTATCATTCACATTCTTATTCTCAATTCACTTTAACTCATTGGCATACAATTAGACTCATACTCAACTCTAGACGCCACCCGTTATCGGTATCCCACACAATACACATAACATTCACATTATCAAACACTGAAGCCAAAAGACATCTCAGTCATATTCATCTATCATTCACTTTAGATACCAACGGTGATTACCTTACATTTATCGTTCATAACAACTGATACCAATTAACATATTTATCGTCTTAAGCATTCACTTCCTTCTATCAACCTAGCTTTCATTCATAATCATCACATGGTACAAAAATCATTCACACTATCATTCATCATCAATCATTAACTACATAAACACAAGACAGTTCATTAAATCCCATTTAAGTAGTGCAAGGGTTCTTATGCATCATGATTCATTCATCTATCAACCTAACTCCCATTGTGATCTAACAACTTAACTTTCAGACAAGGACTATCCAAACCCTTATTCCAACATCAACCAGAATAGAGATTTATGAAAATAGATCTGGATTCGAATCACCTCACCTTAACAATAGATCTGAGATCTGAAGATCTGGATCTAAGAACAAGAGATAAGAGGGAACGAGATCTGGTCGCCTCCACACCACACGGCACCACCGCCACCACCTATGATCTCCAGCGACCACCACCACCACTACGCGCACATCGAGGAAAGAGAGAGGAAGAAGAAACCGCACGGAAGAGAGAGAGAGAAAAGAGAAGATGAACCTTGACAGCTAGGATTTTCGTGTCTCCAGGATTCTCTGCAGGGTTTGCTTCAGTTTTATGATGAGGCAAAAGAAGGGGGCTGTAGTATTTTTTGTAATGAATTGTAGGAAATCCTAGGTTTTTGGATAAGTGAGCCGTAGAGAAGCCCATTAATTTTCCCAAAAATTTTAGGCTCGGTAATGGGTTCTTACACGTCGGCACTGTTGGATAATTTCAATTAACTTAAGGAGAAATTTAACTTATTAAAGAGGAGTTTAGTAAGTTAAGGAAAAAGGAAAACATATCGAGCTTAGGAATGTTTCCATATTATTATTAGGTTAAGATGTAGCTTCGCCTATATAAGGAGTTGCAGAGATGTTGCATCTCTTAAGAGAAACACATTGATTTAGTTTTGAGAGAGTTTCTAAATCTATTAAGAAGTGCTAGTTCTTATATTCTTGTGTGTTTGTGCAACTTTAATTGGTATTAGAGCCTCCAGGTTTCCAAATCGTTTATAAGAGGAGTTGTAATTCGATCAAAACGATGGGAGACGATGTCGCTTCTCAAGTACGAGATAAAGGTCTTGCGATGAAGAAGGACATAAGATGTCTGATGCTAACATCGACCAACTACACCGCTTGGTCGATAAGGATGAAGGTGTTGCTTTGTTTATATGAAGTTTGGGATACTATCGAACTAGGGAACATCGATTTGAAGAAGAACAATGCTGCAATTGCTCTAATCATTAATTCGATTGCAGAAGCGTTGATTCTTCAAATTGGAGAACACGATACATCAAAGAAGATTTGGGATGCTATCAAATCACGTAACCTAGGTGCTGATCGCGTGAGAGAAGCGAGGTTACAGACCTTGATGTCTGAGTTCGATAAACTGAAGATGACAGACGCAGACACGGTGGATGATTATGCAGGAAAACTATCGGGTGTAGCATCAGAGTCAGCCGCGTTGGGTAAATCATGGATGTACCAAGGCTGGTAAAGAAGTTTTTAGATGAACTTCCTACAAAATAGTTCATACACATCGTACCTTCTCTAGAACAACTACTTGACCTAAATTCAGCAAGCTTTGAAGATGTTGGTGGGAGAATAAAGACTTTCGAAGACCGCATCAAACAAGAAACCCAAAATAAAAATGTCGAAGCTAATGTTTGTGAAGAATAATACACAAGGTCGTAGAAGCCATAACAACTTGCAAGGGATAGGCATAAATAGAGGTTATGGTGGAAGAGGAAGAGGACGTGGAAGGTCAAATGGTTCTGATGGTCATAACAAAAGAGGAGAAACTTCGAACAAGATCAAGAAGGACTGCTCTAAGGTTAAATACTGGCGATGCGACAAGTTGGGACACTTCGTGTCACATTGTCCTACACGACCAAGAGAAGAAACAAACCTAACGGAAACACAAGAAACAGATGCATTATATATACATGAAGTAATATTCCTCAACGAAGATAGAGTATAATTGCCAGCATTTAACCTCACAAGAAGCAGATGCATCTGCTTCTTGGGTAGAGTCGATGGATTATTAGTTTATCCAAAAGGGACAAAAACAATAACGTCACATGATTACAAGAGATTGAAGAGAGGAACTCGTGTTTTTTTTTTAAACAACTTGAATTATTGATGACTACAAGGAACATGCAAGTCTCGCTGTCTCTTTTCAAGCTATAATTGTGTCTCTCAAAAGTCAAAACATCTTCCAACACAGAAGAAAGACAAAAACTGCTCTGAGCTGTGAGGTTTCAGGCTTTGTTTTTTTTTCTTCTTTTTATTTGTGACATGGAGAAGATAGTGAGATGTGTTCGGTGGGGTTATGAGGTCAATGCCTCTTCCGATGATTGCATGAACGCAATTGACTCCTATTTTCAACAGGTTCCTCTTTTCATTTCTCTTTCTTTTTGTGTTCTGTTTTCATGCTTGTTTGGTCGTGTTCAGGTTCTTAGTTATGGGAGGAACATGAAAATGATTCTTGAAGCACCACTACACGACAAAGATTGTGTTCTGGGGAACATTTTAGCTGCTCATTACCTTTCCTCATGTGATCCTTCCAAAGTTAATCTCTATGTTGAAGCTGCGACTTCTAATCTTGTGAGTCTTTTTCTATTCGGTGCTTTGAGTTTCGAGGAAGTTTCTTAGTATAATTCGTTTTTTTTTTCCTTCAGAAACATTCTACACCTTACGAGAAAGCGGTTTTCGAGACTGTTACTTACTTGATTTCCGAGGACAGAGATGACGACTTGGCTTTTGAAATGCACATCCAGGTTCAGTTCTCACATCCCTTGTTATTTTACATAAAAATGGTATTCTAGAGTTCGTGTTTCATATTTGTGAATCCGGCACCAATACACCGGTCGTAAGTACATATATATCTTTGGTCCGCAGCTACTTAATATATTCCCAAAGGATTTGGTCTCTCTGAAGAGAGCTCAGGTTTTAAGTTTCCAGATGGCTAAGCCTGTTCCCTTTTTAGATCTGGTTCAGCAGGTACTTTATCTCTCTTCAAGTTGATCGTCATTTAATGATTACCCTTGCCTAAGGCTATTATTGTATCTGCTTCACGCTGTAGGTTCTACCTGAGAATCAAGATGAACGTTATATACACGGTATGCTTGCATTCCCATTGTTAGAACTTGGTCGAATGGAAGAAGCTGCAGCTGCTTCCAGAAAAGGCTATGGGATAAACAAAGAAGACGCCTTGGCACATCACTGTGTGAGTTTCTCAAACAAGCTTACATCTCATTGAGCATTTAACGAGTTCTTTTCTTGTAAAGATTTAACTTTGTTTGTTGCAGTTGTGTCATGTTCTTCAACATACATGTCAGTTTAAAGAAGCAGTGGAGTTCATGGAAAAACTGGCAGAATATTGGCTTTCTTGCACATCCTTCTTGTAAGGCATTTCCTACTTACGTGAAGGCTCTCACATGTTATCATTTAGATAGAAACCTGACAATAATATCTATAAACTGTAAGGTATACACACAATTGGTGGCATATTGCTCTCTGTTACTTGGAAGGAGGATCACCAATGAGTAAAGTGGAGGAGATTTATGATAATCACATCTGGAAAGAACTGGAGAAAGAGGACGCCGTTCCTCCCGAGGTACTTCCCTTTTTGGTTGGAAAATTTTATGCTTTCACTTCCTCTATCGGATATTCAACTGTATGCAACGCTTTAGGTTTATCTCAATGCTCTGGGTTTATTTTTGCGTTTGGATGTAAGAGATGTTCTTGATGGTTTTAAAGACCGTCTGGAACTCCTTGCAGCTCGTTTAACTAATCAGGTAAGCCATGCACTAGTAGCATGATATGTGCTCTTCTTGTCAATAGGGTTTTTATTGATATGTGAAAATGATTAGTTGTTTCTTGGCCACATCACACATGTGTGGTTAAACATTTCAGGCAAACTGGTATTTGGACTGGCAGCTAGATATACTGATAGTTTGGGCGCTGGCAAAGGTTGGAGAGACTTCAAAAGCTCATGAATTACTTGAGGGTCTGAAGTTCCGGTTAGCATGAATTTGTAACCTTCTACAGTTTCTATAACTGAAACTGGATATGTTATGAAACTGTGTTGTTCTTACAGACTATCAAAGATGAACAAGAAGAAACAACAAGTGATGCAGAAAGGGATTCAGGTTTGTTCTCCGTTCTTGACCGTCTTCACTGTTCTAACAGTCAATATCAGTCTTATTTTCTTTTATATTAGCTCGGGGAAGCTGTGTACGAATACGCAAAGGGTAACTACAGACAGGCTTTACGTTTACTTGGTTCAGACTTTAATGCCTTTGACTACAAGGTAAAACAAATATCAAGTTACTAACTCAAAGACTCTCTGGATCAAACACAATGGATTCCTTTCTTATCTGTTTGGTGGTTAATAACAGATCATTGCGGCATCAGATGAACAGATAGATGTTTTCAATGAAGTATGGTGCCAGCTGCTGCTAAAGACAGGCCAATCCTCCACTGGTACTTGTTGTAGAGTAAAAACATTTTCATTAATTATAGATCTTGTTTACTACACCAATGAATGCTCTTCCCTCTGATATATGCAGCCAAAGAAGTGATCAGAAAGAGGATAAAGGTCAGAGAAGGTTCTCCATTCACGTGGCGTTTGCTGGTAAACACAATATGCATTCCTCAAGTAGGATCTCACTGAGTTTTGTTCATGTGTCAATGGGTTTTGGTGATGAGAAAATCATGTCATACTTTTGGTGGCAGGAGAAGAGCTATGCCATGGAAGGTGATGCAGAGGCTGGGAGTGCAGGACAGAGAGCTAAAATGCTGGAATCTTCTTATTTCTAAGGAGGGTCTTATTCAATCATATTAAAGTTTATTCTAAAGAGTTTATGATCTTCAAAATTTGAAATTATTATTCAAAAGGTGTGTGGTGACCAAGATCTCAACAATATACTTTGAATATGGTTTAATCCCCTATATATATTAAAAGATAAACATTTAAAAAATTGTAATCTCAATTTTGTAATAATTAAGAAAGTTTCCATGTTTAGGTGTCACTCAATTAGGTAGTCAATTATATTCAATTGAAAAATAAGTAGGTTCACATTTGCTTTTTATATGTTGCTAAATATATTCGTTGGTCAAACTATATGATAGGATAATATGATATGATATTTACGATAGAAGCATTTATGATTGTTCCGCTAGATATAATTACTATTTTATTTTCTTTCCTTAAATAAAACCTACGGAATTAAAAAAAATGACGAATATATATATGACAATTAATGATTCTAATAATAAATATTTGATAACAATTTATATCTCCTCCATCATTTTTCTCTTTAAATTTATATTATAAAAATAAATTAAACAATCAATAAAATTAAACTTTATATTTTTTGGTATATATATATATTCTATTTTGTATTTTAAAAACGAGGATAAATGGCTAAAACTATTAAAATTATTATGTTAAAATTAATGATCAATAGTTTAACATTTTTATTATAGAAAAGATACACATGATTTTAAAACCATATGAGTAAAAAGTATCATTCAATAATATATATATATATATATATATATACCATATAAGATTACACAAATATTTTAATTTCAAAAATTTCAATGAATTTTCAAGAACATTTATAAATTATAAACTTATTAAATTTTTCACATTGAAATTTTTTGTTATCAATGATTTATAATATGTTTTTTTGGTATATACCATACAAACCGAATGGATGTGATTTTATAATAACCGTAGGCTTTTGATATGGTTTGATTTATTACCGATTAAACTGAAACATGCAAATATGTATATATTTATAACGACGCATAAATATCTATTTGTTACATGAGTTGAACTATAATTACAATTTTTAAATCACTTGAATCACTTGAACTATAACTAACTAACAATTTACTGCAACTGAGCCTTCTTATTTTCTTAATTTTTTTTTTTATCTTTTTGCTGCGGCTAGTAAATTAAATATTCTTGCTAATATTGTAAATGTTATTTCAAGAAATGAAGTGAAGGGGTTACAATAATATTGTAAATGTTATTTCAAGAAATGAAGTGAAGGGGTTACAATAAGTAGTTGACAAATTGTAGAATGTATTTGTAACTAGATATGAGCCAGTGCGTGCACGGATTTTTATAATGTTAGTTTTATAAAGAAAACTAAAAATCGTGTAATTCAATATAATTTGAAGATTCTTTATGCATATGTTGTATAAGATTTGTTTAGAAAGAATTAGATTTCCCACGTAAGTTTTTGTTAGTATGTGTATTTTAATATTGTGTTTCATAGGTGAATTATTATCAATTTTTTATTTAGGGCTAGATAAAATACACAATCTTAAAAATTTAAATGGAACCTAACCGAAATAAAAGTTTAAATTGAAATAAATAAAAATTCAAACTTAAAAAAAAAATCAATTCAATGACAACATCTTACATGAATATTTTGTAACCACAAAAATTGATGTGCATGTTGAAGACCATATGTCTAATTCTTGATTGTATGAATACCTGATTATAAGAAAACATAACTTATTTAAAAAAAAAAAACATAACTTTTGTGGTGATAAATTTTTGAATAAATAAATAGAATATTTTAGTTAAAATTTAAAAATATGATGCAACTATATTTTTTTTTATGTTTTTTCTTAAAATAAAATTATTATCAAATATTTACAGTTATTTGTAGGATCATAAAAAGGAAAATTAAAATTACGTAATCTTTTACAATTGTGTTTTGTCTAGGATTTAGAAAATAAAAATCCTATTAAATTGTTATTTACAGTTTATATTAAATATATTAAAATTTCTAATTTCAAAATTTGTCTTTTTCAATATCAATAGTATTATAACAGTTTCTTTTTGTCAATTATATAATATTTAGTATCATGTTTATCATTGAAATCTTAAAAATAAAGTTTAGTATAAATAAATTTATCATTTCTATTTGGTTTGGATTTAAAAAAATATATAAAGAATTTTTTCTTTGTAAGGATTTTAAAAAGATAAAATTATTTCACAAATCTCTTTTATTTAGGATTTTAGAAAAAGAAAGTTATTTTCACATAACGTAAGGTTTGTATTGACACATTTCACAATCTACTTTTTTATTGACACATGTTATAATTATATTGAGAGAAATATTTAAAGTTTTTGGTTTATATTTTTTAGACAGCATATTATCTAATGAAAAGGAAAGTTAACTATTTTTACGAAAATATTAATTTTTTTTACAATTAATTTTGTTTTGGTTTCTTTAAAAGGTACTTATCTTATATTTCGTTTTCTTCAAGTTTTTTCATTAAAAGTTTCTAGTAATTTTAGGATTCTATAATTCAATTTGTTTAAGATTATTGAAAACTAATTTCTTTTGGATAGAAAATTTTCTTTTTCTTTAATTATATACTTTGTTTTATATGTACAAACACATATTTACCATATTCACACTTACTCATGTATGACAACAATGTGGGAACCGAAATTCACACTGTCGATTTTCCGTCAAATATGGAAACTTAGGGAAAATCCTTATTTTCCCGAGGTCCTAGATCTCTGCGGAAATCACTAAAACAAATGAAATCAACACAATATGGATGAACAACGAAGAAAAAAGAATAAAGAATTTGCGTGAAAGATTTTTATTGAATAAGAGATCGACAACTGTTACAAGAGAGAATTGCAGAACTTAGACGTCGAAACGTTCTAAGGATCTGGCTTGCTAGTCTAAACGCTAAGTCCTAAATTTCTAAGCTAACAGCCGCCTCTCTAGGTCTGATTTTTCGTGTCCCCTGCTTCTGCCCTATGCCTCTTGCTTATATACTCCTTTCCTTGGCGGTTTGATCCTTCCATTTCGCCCAGATTCAAGTTTATCGAGAACCTTCCTTTTGTTTTTATCTTTCCTTTTTTCCCGCAGAAATCTTCCATTTATCTTCAATCTTCACATTTATCTTCGAACTTAACATTTATCTTCCTTCTGCGGGTAAATCGTCAAAACGTTATCGTATCTTCGGGCTAGATTTCGTTAAGATCGCGAGATGGGCTTTTTATCGCGTTTTAGGACCTTCCGAGCCGTTTTACGATAAATCCGTTTTGCGACTTTATACGAGATCGTTTCCTGATCCGATGCCATTTTTAGTAAATTCCCCGAGTTAATCGTAAATTTTAGCTATGTTCTTTTTCGGTTATTCGTTGCCGTTTTTACGATTCACTCGACGTTTTTATTAAAAACGCGTTTTTACGGTTTTTATCGTAAAATTCGAACGGTAAGATGGATTGAGACGAAATGGGAGACATTTCTACAATGGTTCGGGACGTGATCGTGTCAAAGGACATAAGCCTTGAATCGGGGACTTGGGAGATCGAGGTTCGGGATGGTCGGCTCGACGTACGGCGAGCCAAACCAGACCGGTTCAGCTCGCCGTTCGGCGAGCTATCCGGGGAGCTTCTAGCTCGCCGAACGGCGATCTAAGCCAGCTGGCTCAGCTCGCCGTTCGGCGAGCTAGTCGTGGCGGGACTAGCTCGCGTTTTACGGCGGTTTCGGTTTTTCGCGGTTTTGTGCTCAACTTGGACGATCGCCTAATCGACGTGTGTTTCGTTCTTCCGAGTTTTCCGCGGATTTCCTTTGTTAGGAAATCTCTTTTATAAGACGACTTCTCGAGTTTTATAAAACGATTTCTTGATTTTTATAAAACGATTTTTGTATCCCGTGAAAAGTAATGATTTTATCTTTACAGAAGTGATCGTAGACATTGATTTCGAGATTACGGTTTTTGACACCAAGTTTCGCAAGTTTTGGAGAAAGTTTTTGCGAGCGGCTGGAGTTGCTTTAATCGGAATCCACGGCTGCGATTTTTTTTATTACGAGGGATGAGCTCTTCTTTTCTATAAGTATTGGATCATTAGTCCTCATATCTTCCATCTCTTAAGTTTCTCTCCAACTTCTCTCTAGAAAATTTTCAAGATGTCTTTTTCCCAAGGTGATCAACAAAACCATGAGGTCCTAGCTGGCGAAAACTCTATGGCACATTCGCAGGATGCTCGTATTTCTGAGTTCCAGTTGTTTCAAGAGGAGATGGATCGCAGCGATGCTGAGGAGAAAGAGGTCAAGGCTATTTTGGACGAAACGGCGGATACGGTAGCGAAATCCTCGACGGGTGTCGTTATCGAACCGTCGGGTTTGTCTGCTATTCCGCCCCTTGCTGTATTCAAAAACGCAGCGGTTCCTGCTGAGGTCGGAACGGTTGCAACTCCGCCCGCGGTTGAATCGGTTGCGGCTCCTACCGCAGTCGAACCGGTTGCGGCTACTGCGGTCGAAACAGTTGCGGCTCCTACCGCGGTTGAACTGGTTACGACTCTGAGGCCTCCTCCTCCGGCCAAGAGGGTGATTGTTCTGGGACTTCCGGCGCTTAGCGCAAAGCTATCTGCTTCAGCCAAAGGTCGTAAGAGACCTTGCCCGAACCCCGATGCTCCCAAGAGAAATAGAGGCACAAAGGGTCCGGAGACTGGAGCTTCGTCAAGCAAGGCGCCAAGCTTGGTTTCAATGTCGCAACACCGTGCCAAGGTACAGGCTTGCGAGCATACGTTTAAAAAGATTATAATTTTAATTCATATCTGACCGTCTATCTTGGCTTTTCTAGTTTGTTTCGTTGATCGATGGGATGATCAAAGAGTGTGGGTCCGAAGTTGAGCGTTTAGCCAAGGAGTTGGCTGAGTCACAGGAGAGGTCTGCTCAGCTCGAGGCAAAATTGAAGGTGATAGAGGACGTGCATTCCACGGAGGTATCTCGGTTTGAGGCTAGGATCAGAAACTTGGAGCGCGATCTCAGAAAGACCGCGATTTCTTTGCTTCAGGCGAAGGATGCAAAGAAGTCTAAGGCTTCGGAGCTGCGCAGACTCCAGCGCAAGATGAAGAGTTTTGAGGGATCGGTGGTTCGTGCGACCGAAGGGGATGTTCCTGTCGAGGGAAGTGACTCCGACCCGACTCTTGCTGCCGAAAGCACCCTTCAGAAAGATGTGAT